GCGAAAACCTTCAGTCAAATACCCATTTACAAAATCATCATATGGCTATAGGGCTAATAATAGTGTTCAAACAACACATCAAATATACAGAAATAATTTGCAAAACAATACAGACAAAAATATCTTCTGGTAAACCAGAGATTTTAATACACAAGCAAAAAAAATCTTTACTTACTTCATTTGGAAGAGGTGTCTGTGAAAAGTGGAATAGAAATAGTAATTACATGTACTACCTCTGACAGGCTCTGTCTAGTGTCTACCCATCGGAACTAGATAAAACATTATTTCATTTTATAGTAATGGCAACAAGTGGGCTGTGGAACCTAGCTTTCTCTTTCCATTTCAAAACAAAACTGAATAATCTTTTGATCTTAATGTTTCGCCTTATAGTGTAGGTCTTCTTGACTTTAAAAGTTAGCTTGAGTCACTAATTTGTTGAACACTTTGAAGCCTGGTCTGGTAAGCTCATCTGAAATCAGTGCATGGTTCGTTTACACCTAGATTATCCGCATGAACCTGATCAAGGCTCATTAGAGGGGAGATTAAACAGATCCTCATCAGCCTTCATCAAATAAAAAAGAAAAACATGTCTACAGAGTACAGACAGACGGCCTGATTGTACATAGAAGGCTGTTAGGCCATGTAAAATTGATTTCATGTTGATCGTCCCCGCCCGCTTCCTTTTTGGGCGCCGCCTCCTATTTTTTGTTATTTGTTATTTTTGTTATTTTTGTTATTTTTTTTTTTTGAAATTTTTTTTGATTTTTTTTTTTTTTTTTGAAAGAAAAAAAACATGAAAAACACTGCTAAAATGGCTCTATTTCTGATTTTTTTTTTTTTTTAAATTGTCGGCGGCCATCTTGAAAAAAAATAGCCTCGACTGTCAGGGAAAATGTACCGAGCGGCCATTTTGAGCGGCCATTTTGAAATATCAAATATCAAATAACATGGTACACCCTCCTCCTCTTTTTCAAAAAATCCGGACGATCAACATGTAATCAATTTTACATGGCCTTACATCAGACACATTAGCTGTGGTTGTGTAGCCTCTACTATTCACTATTGTCAAATTCCTTGTTGGTCGTAATCGGTGTTATTGTGGGAGGATAGATAATATGATAATTGTCTGTAATGATTGACCTTAACAAGTCGACCTCGGGTCCTAACGTGCGTGGACACTGGTCAGGATTAGTTGTGAGCTACTTTTAGAGAAAGAAAGAGTGCATAATATAACAACAGCCATTACAACTTTGAAAGCTATACCGTCATGATAATGATATTTCACATGTGAAATGACTCTAGGAGAAACTGATGCTGATAATATCCATAATTCCACATGGTCTAATAATCATTTCATATTAGTATACCTCCCATTTGGTCTATTGCACATTTCGTCTTATTTCCATTCTGACAATTGAAAAATATATATATGGGAAACTGAGGCACTAAAAATGTCCTCTTCCACACACTTTGTCATGATGAAAAGTAGGCGATGAATGGTGAGTGATTAATTAACCCATTGGCTATGGGAACCTGGTAGTTCCTGTACTAAATCCATTGGAAAGAGAAAATGCAGTAGTCGCCAGGTTAATAATTCTCTTAAAGTCAGGTCTATAGCAATATACATGTATGCAACAGCTCAAAAAGGTATTCAAACACACGTACATTCCGCACTTTGTGTTGCATTCAAAAGTCTACTGCTTTGCCCCAATTCCCATTATTCGAAGATTTATTTTTTCTATCTACAATTATCACGTAAAGCTGGTCTTAAGACATCCCGCCGACTTTAAATCTTTGACTCTTTCTGCCAATTGACATCATTCAATATAGAGATTGGGAGGGATTTGGGGCCTCTCTCACTTTTAGGATACATGTAAGTCTAGAAATGTGTTTGTTGCTCGGTTAGTCCGGAGAGGTGTGTACACAACACCTGTACAATCACTAAGATACTCAACTAGAACAATCTAGGTATCACTCGTTAATTGTTTGTTAACATCAAATAGTTGAATACAGGTTAATGAATATAAGGGGTTAGTGTGTCATTGTCAAATTTAGTAGTTTTAGCATGGACTTACTAAGGATAATTGTCAACCTCATATAAGTCAGGGCAGGGATTATACGGTATACATTTGTAGATCTGGGCCCCCGTCTTATAAAGAGTTGATGTCAATTGCAACATGTACATAAGAGATAGGAGACTGCAAACTTGCGATTGATTGGAGGACTTATTGATTTGGATCAATTCTAAACTCTTTATAACTTAATAAGACTGGGCTCTTGTATGTATATGATGCATAAAAACAGGTACATGGAGGGTGGATTCATAACAAATTAGTATCCAATTGCCTAGAGTCATTATCAGTATCAATTGATATTGCTTCTTAGTATCAGTATCGAGTGATATTGCTCAAGTATCAGTAAAGAAAGTAATTCAGCACACAAAGTTATACCCCATTTATTAAGAAGAAACTACAGTACATGTAGGACAAGCGAAATCATTAATCAGGCCTACAACAAGGATCAGATGCCAAACTGCAGCAGGAAAATACATTTCCCCGCTATTTTTCTTTAATTATATTTACTCTTTCCCACTTTTGCACCATCACATAAAATCTATCAACAACACCAAAATCCAGGTAAACACAAACCCTCTAGCAAACAAAAATAGCTCAAAAGAGAACAAGGGATTGCCCACCTTCTGAATCACTCACAGTTCTATGATGTTATCACTGAGCAGTGGCTGCTAATAGGACCATGACTCATTCTCATGTAAATAATTAAAGGATATAAAACCCTTCCATGCTAGTTAATAAAAGGACAAACCCAAACAAATGATAAGGAATTTTATTAAAGGTAAAGACCAGTATTGGTAACGCCCCAATTTTAAAAAATGAAATGGAAGCTCTCATTACCAATCATGTGAAAGAATATGTTTTGACTAATACATGATGATAAAAAAAATTGCCGGGAAACCGCCTACTAATTCATATATTTGGTAAATTTGTTTCTCTCATGGTCTGTGAGAGATATAGGGTAGTCCCATATACATCTTTCTTTGTATAGTGCTTGTAACTTTACGAAGAATTGGCCAAATTTCTTATCATTTTGATGATTCCAGAACCTTGCAGATGCTAGATGCTAGATGATCAACCTTTTCTGATCGATTCCACAACGTTTCTTTCACAATGCAATCGCATGACCATAACTGGTCTTTACCTTTAATAGAACATGTCTTTTTCAACTTCTTTGTCAACTCTCTTTGTACAGCTGATGGAAAATGGTTAACCACAGTATTGACAAAGGTCAGAGATTTGTAGAAGAAAAGAATTTTTTTTTTTTTTTTTTTTGGTGCAACCAAGGAGCTTTATAGACAATCCTACCTCCTTGGTGCAAGTAGAGGTTCGAAGCCATTTGGTATACAACCAGTTCGTCTACTACCCAATTGGTCTATTCCTGTATGTACAACACCCAGCCTGTCTACTATCCATTTTTTGACTAATCGTTTGGTCTAATTACCATTCGAGCTAATAGTCATTTGGTCTAATTTCCATTTGGTCTAATCTCCAATAAGTCTATGACCCATTTGGTCTATTGGCTTTGCTCATTTAGTCCAATTGCCAGTCAGTCTCATTCCCAGTTCGTCTAATGCCCATTTCGTCTACAAGTACTATCCAAAAGGTCTAATACCGGTAATCATTTAATGAATATTATTGCTTATGATTAAATGATTATTAGACCATATGGATTATGGAATTCATGGATAGTAGACAGAATGGGCATTATTAGACCAAACAATCAATACAATCTGACAAAATATAAATAACTTCATACAGATACCGTAAGCTATCTGGTCTTGTTGTTGTGTATGGTAACAGACTACCATAGTTTAAGGAGAGCCTTTGATCGGTTTGATGCCAGACACATGTTTAGGATCTCATTCATCATTCCTACCATTTAATACAAAGGTTCTCCCTGTTCTAACAAGGTTGCTTAGACAACTTGACCTAACCTCAACTTTTTCTCAGGTCACCCATGAATAACTCACCAAATATTTGTCATTTTAAACACAAAAGACGTAGAAAAGTTGACTCAGGAATTACATGTTTGGTTTCATTTTCTCCCGCTCTTTTCAAACTACCTGTAGTATCACTGGCCTGGGAGTCTGTGATACAGAGAGGCAGCCAACATGTTCATACAGTGTACATTGTACATGTACATGTGTAAAATGCTAATCTATGTAAATCATATTTCAATTACATGTACATGTAACTATCAAGGGCACCTCATTTTCCACACACATTAACAATAGCCTTGCCACAATGTCACAAGAGCATACAAAGTCAGGATACTGGCCTTGAAATTGAATATTATAATCATAGGTTCTTTTTTGTTTGTACTAGCTACAAAGCCTTTGATATTTGAGAATTGTATTTTTTCTACAAGTGTATCTTGTTTTCACTTCAATCTTGCATAATGCTCTTAAAAGCTGATTGATGGGTAATATAAGCATAAATCATTACAGATCAATCTTCCTTCTATTTTCACTTTAGAATATTGAAAGTGCTTAGAGAAACAAGGGTCCAACGAGATGCAAACGAGGTGAAAATAGTAGAAAATATATTGATTCACAAAGCTAGATGGAATTATACACAAGAAGCATGGATTATAATTCATAAGCGCTCATTTGAAAACTGTGTAACCATACTTTTATCTATATATATATATACATTGTATATATATAGCCATGTAAAACAATGAAATGCTCACTTCGCCTGATGAGAATAACTCGAAAGCGCTTGTGAAGTTTAACCCATGCTCCTTGCATATTCCATGTACATGTAGCGCTGTGAATTAATTTTCTCATATTTATATCAATATATATTTAATGCCCACACAGACATTTACTATAAACAATGTCATCTCATAATAATATCTTCAACTTCCTCGAACATGTTTACCTTCACCCTCAGATTATTCAGAAATAACTTGGAAGTTCTTACCATATTATAATCGATGCCATTTGAGAGGGTGTGTCTACGAGGTTCATCCTTTTTCCTCCTTCCTCCAGCTTTCTGAGTACTCTCACTCGTCCTCCTCACCGCCTTCTCGTAATGGGACGACTCTGCAGGGTGTTTGGATATATCTCCTGAAATAAAGTGTAGAGTGACAATGTATTATAAAGAGGTGTCGTGGACAAGTGGATATGTCAACGGACTGAGGATCACATGGGCCACGGTTCAAGTCCCACCGCGGCACTAATGTCAATTTGCCAAGACATTGATCTACATTTCCCACTCTCCACCCAGGTGTTGAATGGGCACCCTGTCCTGAAAAGTGCTATAAGATCTAGCTATTATTATTATTATTAATTTATCTTATTTTATAAGAAATTTATGGATGTTTCTTTCCTGGGGACCTAGTGATGAGTTATTCCATTAACCCATTTAAACGAATGAACTACAATACCATACTTGGAATCCAGTCTGCATACATTACTTGTTGTTATGTTGGGCAAACCTTGGACAGGCTTTCAAGGTGTCAAGAGTAACCTTTGTTTAAAAAGCAGGCATAAAATTTGAATATACATGTATGTTAGTATTATTATTTTTACTATTGCATGTACAGGTGTAGCACAGAAAATTGCTATTATTGTGTTTTTTTTAAGATAGTCACAAATAATTATTCAAGAATACAATTATGCCATTCAAAAAGAACCAGGTAAATCTACATTAAATCAAAGTATGAATGGCTAATTTGGCGATTAATTCAACAAAAAAAGGAGCACTGGGGGAGAGGATAAGGTTTAGAATTACAAACATCGTACATGGGACTGTTCTCAGTCAGCTTCTCATGTACCGGTATCTCAAGGTACATTCTCCTCTCGTCTGAAGGACAAGCATTGATTTCATACTTTAATTAAAATTTAATTGTATCTCAATTGAAGCCTAACTCAACTTTCTAATGGTATAATACATGTAGTATGTCAGAGCATGGACCTACTTTGTAACTAGTAGGTCCATGATCAGAGCCAGGTAGCTACCTTTAATACACTAGTAAGTAACAGGGTCAATGGGGTACAGTGCACTGCAGTCTCTCCTCTGTAGTCTGTCAGTTCAAGCCCTATGCTATGCAAGCCTACGAACCTGGATTTACCTGGATCTGAAGCTGGATTTTACACTAAAATAAAAGTGCCCTTTAATAGCAAATACAAAACCTTCAAATTTTCTCCTATCATCTCATGACCCTCCCCTCACCCCCCCCCCCCTCCTGCCCCCTACCAGAGCAGACTTACAATTATCTAGAACAATGATAGACAATAGACATTGCAATAATTTGATTGAATTGATACAATCTTGAAAATGGTGGCTCTTTAGGTCCTTTAAAGCCTGTCTGCACTAGTTAGGCCAGGGGGGATTACACCTTTCTGCAAGGTCACTGACAGGTGGTTATCTCATCAAAATCAAATCAGCTCTCAATTAACATAAGAAAAAGGGGATTATGGGGGGACCAACAGGCACCAATTAGGCATTGTTTGCTATATGTAGATGGTGCAAGTAGATAAAGTAGCGCAGTGGCCAGTGGGGCTTTAAGGAAATGTTCTCCCAATTTAAATCAGAGCTCATTGTCCACATGACAGCAAAGGGCAATGATGTGTGATGCCAGACATGTTGGAGCATTGGTGTTTGACCAAGAGCCACCTCATTTTAATCATAAAAGCAACTCTCTCTGAGGCTGTTCACACCGCAATGAGATAGCGCGGTCTATCGTAGCACCCCCTTTTTTCTAGCGCGCGCTAGCCCGCGCTATCTCTCGTGGACCACCCCCAAGAGGTGCTCCAGTGTTGGCTCGCCGTGGCTCGCTGTTGGGCGGACCGAAACGACGTTGTACCTTCCATACCGCGGAGATAGCGCGGTCTGGCGCGCGCTATCTCTGCCGGTGTGAACAGCCTCTCTGTCGCCCATTCATAGAAAGCGGAGCACGCCTCTGTCAACAAAGTTGAACAAATTGGCACCTCTCCTATTCATGGTCAGTTTGTCTTGCAACCCTCTCCTTCCATTAAAAGAAAGTAAGTACAAACCGCATGTGGCAGTGCATTCTTTCAATTTGAAATAAAAAGAAACAAGGATTTGTTTGGCATGAAAATCTCTATTGTTTGGGCTACAACTATAAATACAGGTAGGTTAGTCTTGAATTGCATGCTTTTTTGGCTGAATGAAACTAGATTATTGATAAAACAACGTATGTATTACATGTAATACTTTGAAGTACCAAAACTGATTTCACTTTTAAGTCAAGTCATTTCAAAAATTTCTTACAAAATTGTTATCTACACTTATAAAATAATGAAGCAATTATTCTTTAAAATCATTTTCTTGAATGGTTCTAAATTGAAGAAGATTATCTTTCGGATAAGGAACAGCAGTTTTCATTTATTTTTAAAGCAGCTTTCACAAGAAGCCATATACAGGTACATGTACAGTGTACAGGGGTCCTTTTGGATTGCGATGGAGCTCTGTGCTCAACAGTGCGTAACGGTAACGAAGTGTTGGATCTACACAATGCTCAATGAACTTACCACTCATTACAAGCCTTTTCAAACACCTTTGGTGTACTTTTCAAGGGCTCTTAGACTTTTCCAGTAGCTATTCATTGATTATTTGGACCTGTGAACCTTTTATTAGCTGGTGGTTTGGGTTTAGAGTTTTCATTTGTCTACTAGAATTGAGCATTGTTCAGAAGAGACTCTGAAAATATATTTTCTTTAAAGTTTAGAAGCCTATCATTTGCAAAGGTGCAGAGTATCAACAGAGGAATGTGAAGAAAAAAACTTTAGAGGAGAAATAAAAAGACAATGAAGCCTAACACGCAAAGCTTTAAATATTTCTCTTTGTGCTAGCTCCAAGGAATCAGGGAATTAAAAAACCGGATCACTGAAAATGATGACAGTTTTAAGGGTGGGGACATACCCACAAGTGCAAATATTGCAACTACTGTACATTGTCATCAGCATGGCATTGAGCATATAATTATTGCATAATGGAAATGGCTCTTTATGTATACATGTAAAATAATATCAATATTAATATCACCATCATGTTACCGCATACGCAGCATTGTGAAATAATGAACACTTACAATGCACAGTAACATGACTGCTAAGTGCATTCCAAATCCAACATTTATTTGGTTGTATTCCCCTAACTTATCAGCTTTGTTTAATTTCAAATTAGAACATGCATACAGTCATTATAGTGTACTTTCAAGGGTATCAATTCTCAATTATTTTATTCTATGGGTCTATTACAAATGATGTATTAATAATAACATGAATAATAACAATAAGATTAATGACGATTGATAACGATGATATAAAGAAGAAGAAGAATAACTTTATCAATGACATTGTCATCATTTCTTTATAAAGCACCCATTTAATCTTTCTTTTTTTAAATTCCTGACATATTTCATTTAGTAGTGAATATTTTCTCAATCTAACATTCAGCCTACAGAATTTCTAATTCTATAGTTCATGCATTATTCATTTATTGTCTATTTGCTTGGTGTCTTGTTCGATTATATTCATGGAGACGGCTTTCTTCCAGAAGCTTTGGTATTCAAGGTATTCCTTTTGTTAATTTCATGTAAATATTACAAATTTCCATAATACAGACAATGAAACATTGACTTTAAAATATAAATCAGTAAGACCCATCTTTTTTTCTTGTGATAGAGTACTGCGATTCCTGCGAACCTTTACTTTACGACAATGAAATGAGCTTTTTCAACAAAAAAAAAGAAATGTAAAATTAAAAAGAATTGTGAATAAAATACTCAACACATATTTGGATCTACTCACCAGGAAAGCTTTGTGGAGGTTTAGTATACACACTGGTTTCTTGTTTCCTGCCATAAATAAGATCTGGTTGTCTTTGGAATTGAGAGGAGCCTTGTTGTTTTTCTTGTTTCCAGCTTTTAATTGTAGCTTCTACACGCTTCTTATCTGCCAAGGTGGGATTGGCCGGACCATCTATGTGGGATTGGTGTTTGGAATACAAGTCATCAGATTTATCACTGAACTTCCGTGACTTTTCTTTAGTTTTCTGCATGTGTGCAGCATAGTTAGGTGGGTTAGACGTTTTCTTTTCATCTGGAAGTGCTGAAGTAGATGACCGAGAGTTCCTCATTTGTCTAATCGGTTTTGTAGGAACATCCTGAAGTTGTGGAGCACTTTTTGCCCTCATTGGATGAACGACATTATTAGGTCGCACAGTTGCAGTGGTCGGCTGTTTTTCATCTTTTGAGTTTCTAGATCCTCTGACCTGTACTTGCCTTGCTTTGCTGATGGATCGGTTCTTCTCGAGGGTGATTTTGAGTCCTGTACAGAACCGGTCAAAGGACAGTCGCCCGTCCTTCGGTGCGATGCCTCTCAGAGAGTCCACAACTCCCGCGGGTAGCCCGGTGACGGAATTCCCCTGCCACCTCTTTTCAATCTCCGCAAGTTCCACATAACCGTCGGAGTCCTCGTCTAAAATCTCAAACAACACCCTCAGAGAACTGACGAAAGCTTTCGGTAATTCTTCCATCTTCGAAGGGCTTACCTTATCAGCATTGCCATAGCAGGATAAAGACGATGTTACAGATGAAATAAGTTTTTCCAGCAGAGGACGTTTGAGCTCGGTTATGTTGTACTCTGGCGCTGGCAAAACCATAATAACGTGCTAAATCTTAATCACAAGAACACGACGCGCACACTTCAAAATCACCGATTGCCTAGAATGCTAAATCCTTTGAGCGCTAATATACGTGTAGTACTAGTAGTATCAGTTTGCAACTAATTCAACCAAGGTTGAATTGCTTATCCGACGTTCTTTTTTTTTCTCTCCAACATTCAAACTTCCACGAGATATGAAATAGCCCAGTTTATTGATGATAGCGCGAATAAGAGATATTATACATCCACCGCTTGATACTAGTCAATTTTACAAACTGCCACTGTATAGGTACTGAAATTGCTTTCATCACGCACATCACTGTCGCTCTTATGCAAATAAAATATAGCCTATATAGCTGAATGAAAAATTGTATGATAGCAACTACCACTGAACTGTACGCTTCATTGACCCCAAAGAGAAAAGAAAAAATAATCTTTGGGTCCCAGGGCCAGCTCAATTTTGGTAGCATAATCAATAACGACAGCGAGGTTAGCAGTAGCTGGCGACATACTGAAATAAGCCAAAAAGTAGACCTTGTCTATTATATCACCACCCCGCCCCCCCCCTAAAAAAAGAAGATATATGACAAGTATTCCTTTTCTCTAACATTATGATTTGTTGATAAAATCTCCAGCACTTTGTAAGAGTGTGTTATTTCGTGAGGCTAATCTCTGTTACTTTACCCTCAGATAATCGGAGAGGGCTATAATCTCATAACCGGGTGCATTGTGATAGACAGGCAGAAAGATATAGAAAAGGGAAATAGTATGGGAGTATACGAGTGAGAGGAAGATGATGATGATGATGAATGATGAAGATGATAACGGTTATTTAGTGACTGCTAAGAAAGAGTAAATGCTTATTAGTAAGCAACCAGAGGACCGACGGCTTTAGGTCCACTCCGATGAACCTGGTTATGAGGATTAATGCCTTATTATACCAAAGGGCACTAGCGCATCGACTTATAATAATAATAATAAATTTAATTTATATAGCGCTAAATACAAATGTCTCTAAGCGCTTTACAAATATATTATTACCCCGGTCATTGGATTCAGTGCTTACCCGCACACAATGTGTGCACAATCTCCACTCCCTGGGGAGCATTCCAGCCAGGCGTTACATGACGCTCAAAAACTGTTTGACCAACAATGACGGTCGCATCCTACCGGGTACCCATTTAACACCTGGGTGGAGAGTAGCAAGTGCAGGTTAATATCTTGCCAAAGGATATTAGTGCCGTGTCGGGATTCGAACCCTCGACCTTCGCATCTCCAAGTCAAGCGCCTTAAACCACTCGACCACGACACTCCCACTTGGTTTCGAACCCGGGTCATCGGGTGATCATGATGATGAATGATGAAGATGATGATGAGGATGATGATGATGATGATGATGATGATGATGATGATGATGATGATGATGAATGATGATGATGATGCTGCTGCTGCCGTGCAACTAATTTGGGTTCAACACCTGCAACCAGGGGCGGATCCAGCCAGCGGCAGGGGAGGGGGCCAAATTTGTGAGAAAATATTTAGCGGCGAAACAGCCGGCCGATAATTCGCTCAGTGTGGGGGGGGGGGGGGAGAAGGGGTAGTGAGCACTAATTTTTTTCTTGGGGGGGGGGCCTCGAAAATTTGAAAAATCACACCCCCCCCCCCCCCCCCCCCCCGTTATTAACATGTTTTTAATTTGCCTATAATTATAATGACATTAAAAAAATAAGAGCTTGTTTGATGCGGCAAAACTGTGGCTTAAAAAAAAAATTATGATGAAGTAAAGTGTAATACGCTTCACATTTCTGTTTACACGCAAGTCCTTTGTTGCCATTCATTTACACGTTAAAAATAAACCCGAGCCGGGCGTTTTTGTGGCGGTTTACCTCGGCGCCATTTGAACAAACCTACATTATATATCATATTATGAATAGGGCCTCATTATCCCATTGGCCTATTTGAAAAGTAGAATTTTGAAGAAGAAAAATCTCAAGAGCTCATTGTTTTAGGAGGATGACATCTTTTAACAAAACAGTATGCAGTCTTCAGACTCGAAATCTCTGAGAGCTCGTAAAGGGCTCTAGAATTAAACTGGTTTAGCGCCATCTAGTGACCTAACTTTTTCATTATCTACTTTCTTTCACCCCAAATAATTTTTCATTTATGCTATCAATAATTATATATTCAAGTTAAACTTGTCGGCAGGCGCGTATCTAGGATTTCTTAGGGGGGGGGAATAATATGCGAGCCAAAAATTGATACGGAATGGGGACACCAGCAGTGGCAAAAACTTTTTTTTTTTTTTGGGGGGGGGGGGGGGATAGACAAAAACAAAAATCCCCATCACCCCACTCTTACATGCAAGCCCCGCTGAACGTTTCTCGGCGGGGGTCAAGGGTTGGAGCTCCCAGAAGATCAGGGGGTATAGGCATTTAATTACTGTCACATAAGCATATTTTGATACCTTAATTGCGACACTGGCAGGTCAAGAATTAGCGTGGGGTCAAGGGGGCGGAGCCCCCGGAATCTCAGGGGTTTCGGGCAATAAATTACGGTCAGATGAGCATATTTTGATACCTTATTTGTGATACTGGCAGGACACAAATTGGTGTTGGGTTCAGGGGGCGGAGCCCCCAGATGCTCAGCGGTTTTATACATGTCAGATGAGCATATATTTATACCTTATTTGTGACACTGGCAGGTCATGAATGTGCGTGGTGTCCAGAGGCGGAGCCCCCGGAGGCCCAAGGGTGTTAGGCAATAGATTACGGTCAGATGAGCATCCTGGGGCCTGCCTTGGGGTCATTAATGTTAAGTTCAGGGGGAGAGCCCCGGAAGCTCAAGGCTTTTAATAGGCATTTTATTACGTCAGATGAGCATAATGATACCTTATTTGTGACACTGGTAGGTCACTAATTGGCTTGGGGTCCAGGAGGCGGAGCCCCCAGAAGCTCGGGGGTTTTAGGCATTTTTTAACGGTTAGACACGCATGCAGTGGCCCGCCTTAGGGCCTTTGGTGGGGTCGAAGGTCGGAGCCCCGGAAACTTAGGGGTCTTAGGCAGTCAATTACGGTCAGATGAACATATTTTGATACCTTTTTGTGACACTGGCAGAACACTAATTGGCGTGAGGTCCAGGGGGCCGAGACCCCAGAAGCTCAGGGGTTTTATACATTAAATTGTCGTCAGATGAGCATATTTTTATACCTTATTTGTGACACTGGTAGGTCACTAATTGGCGTGGGGTCCAGGGGCGGAGCCCTCAGAAGCTCAGGGGTTTAAGACATTTTATAACGGTCAGACAAGCCTGCAGGGGCGGAACCCCGGAAACTTAGAGGTTTAAAGCATTCAATTACGTTCAGATGAACATATTTTTATATTGTGACACTGGCAGGACACTAATTGGTGTGGGGTCCAGCGGGCGGAGCCCCCAGGAGCTCAGGGGTTATAGGCATTAAATTACCGTCAGATGAGCATCCAGCTGCCTGACTTTGGGCCCTAGGTGAAATCCAGGGGACAGAACCCCCGGAAGCTCGGGGGTTTTAAGGCAGATGAGCAATTTAAAATAAAAAAAATTGGCCTCGAAAATCGGAAAATTACGTCGTAAGATATTTCGTCCAGTGGTTGGGGGAAGGAACACTTTTTTGTTGTGCAAAAAAAAAAAACTTTCCCCCTTTCCCCCTATTCTAGAAGAAAGCAGTAAAAATCAGAAAAGCAGGCTGATCAAAGTTTGAATGAAATCGGACACAAAAATGAGAAAATTGTAAATGTTTCAAAGTTGCTAGCATGGGCTTTTCAAGTCTGAATTAGGGAGGCCATGGTCGATATCTTTATTGTTTTGGGGGAGATGAGGCGTGATAAATACATTTTGTCGTAGCACCTAGCACGTCATGAAAAGTGGCACTTTTAACCTAAAATGGTGCGCAGTCATACGAGATGAAATTAGGCACTTATAAAAAGGGGGAAATGCACAAAGGAAGTTTATAAAAAGAGAAAGGGGCATGTGTCAAAGTAAACGGGTACGTATACAGGTGGATGAGGCACTTTTTTGCATGTGAAAAGGGGCCAGTCATTAGAGGTTTAAGGGGGCACTTATACAATTGAGTGGGAAGGAACTTTTATTACCAAGGAAAAGGACAAGCTGGCCGGTCAGAATATCAGAGATAATCTTATCAGATGTGAAAAGGGGGCATTAAGGGGAAGGGGCGCTTACAAGTAAGGAAAAGAGGCACATGGGATGAAGGGATATTTTTTAGAAAGGAAATGGGGCACGTGTCAAAGTAAAAAAAATACACGGGGGCTCGGGGCGAATTAGCCCCCGAAATGCCTAAAAGAGCCCCCAAAAATCAAAAAAGAGCCCCTGTAAATTTGCATAGAGTTCAATGCAAAACAAATTTTAGAATGTTATTTTCATGCAGGCAAGCTTGAAAAGTAGCCCCCGAAAAATAAATATTAATTTTTTCCCTGATTAAAGGGACACTTAATTATTACAGGGGAAAAGGGGTACATATACTTCTCGCACCTGAATGATAATAGTAAATATGCCGTTCTTGTGAAGCGCATATACGATTTAACAGCTTTATGCGCTTTCAAAGGACCGTAATTACCCCCCCCCCCCCCCCTGGCATGAGCTCCGTCAACCGTAACAGTGAATTCTACCTAGCAGGTATCGATTCACTATATACTTTACCTGGGTCGAGTTTGGCAAATGTAGAAAAATGTCTTGCCAATTAATAAAGGCCATAAGTGACGCGGAATTCCAGCCCGGCCCTCCCTTAAGTAGTCTTGAGATATATAGTCCCTGCACAGCAACACTCATCAGAGGTGATTCAAACACAATTGGGGGTATTTGGGCATTTATTACAATAATATTAAAGGATCAGGGGCACTTGTCAAAGTAAAATTAAGGGAAACCTATCAGATTTTAATATATATGATACTTGATACTTGATGAGGTAATATAATTTATGGGCACTTATCAGAAGCTGGAAAGGGGGCACTCAT